TGGATCATTTCTGGTGTTGCTGACGTCACAGGACACATGCCGTCTTCAAGGCTCTCCCTGCCATGCATAAACTTTGCTGCTTACCTCCTTTTCATGGCCCAGGGAGCAGTATCCTTACGTACAGATGTGGCGTTACACTCAATGGCCCAAGGAGCAGTATCCTTACGTACAGATGTGGCGTTATACTCGATGGCCCAAGGAGCAGTATCCTTACGTACAGATGTGGCGTTATACTCGATGGCCCACGGAGCGGTATCCTTACGTGCAGATGTGGCGTTATACTCGATGGCACAAGGAGCAGTATCCTTACGTACAAATGTGGCGTTATAGTCATGTCTTCATGAATGACTTTTCTGCAAGTACGTATTACTGTTTGTCCATGCTACAGTGGTCGCAGACCCCTGCTTGTCTTACTGACTAGTCACAAAAAACAATTTGCTTACATAACTCAGGTTTTGTGGCTATACCTCTATGACATCATGCAATGTCGACAGCAAACTATTTAACTAGTACGCAATTCCTTCTACGTGAGGCTCTGAACTTGCCAATCAAGCCTCGTGTTTCTTTGGAAACAAACTGTGTATGTTAAACGTCCAATCTTTTTCTTTCGAAATACCTCGACAATGGTAACTAATATGGTAGCAGCACGTTGTATCCATATACTCATCTTTGGCATGGCGTTTGAACACTCGAACACTCGACTTAACAGCGAGACGCCTATGTTCGATCATAAGATATCTTCAAAGTCATCATGCATCTTAAGGCACCCAACCATACTGTCAAAAACAACGTAAATGTTAAACGCGGAATGCGGAGTTTCTGTTGAGGAACGTAATGTCAGCCTGCTGTTACATAAGACAGACTAACCCAAATGATGATATCTTCAACACAAAGTCGTAAACAGTAAACAACAACAAGAGCATGGAATAGAGATCATGTTATATGAACACAATACATATCATGACGTCACGTGACACGCATTTACGCGTCTCACGTGACACGCACGTCTGCATAAACACGTGAATTGCGTGTGTTTATACAGACAGTACGACATATGCTATAACCGAAAACAAAACACAAATAGATCTATTCAGAAAAGTCTCACAGAAAAAACATATTTTTAGAATTCAGTGCTATTGCTTCCAAATAGCACAAATGCTATGAAGGTTGAAGGTCCTGCCTAACAAGCTTTCTGTTATCGGTCATTGCGTTGTGTGTACATATATATGTATTTAAGGCCAATGTAGGTATATGTATCATGTGATGCATGCGTAAGTTAGAGATGCTCCTGGGATGCTTGGGGTCAATGGGTACATGTATTTGTGTCGTACTCACCGATATACCGTGGGAACCAAGGATGCCAGCGGATCAGAGATGGGTCTGCTCCGTGACCTCTTGCTGTTCTTCAGCTAGACTGATTCACTTACGTAATAATGATCTCGGGATCGCTCCAGGTTTAGGTTGGACTAAAAAGTATTTAAGATGTGATTTTTGTGTTTGTTGTCGAGCGCTATCTTAAAGATGAATCATTTTAAAGTGCTCTTGGCATGCTTTTATAAGGGAAGGGAGATGCTAGGTGGTCGGGAGCGGAATGGTAATAGTGCGTATCGGCGAACCTGAAGAGCCCTTAAGGGCTACGTTGGGGTGAAGAAGTTGGGATATCTTCATCCCTACATTAAAATCGTTGGGAATTATACATGTTGTAAGTATTTTATCTTTGTAAGAAATTCTGAAGTTTTATTGTGTTTTTTGTGTGTAACATTTGAAACTGATGGAATTAAACTCGCTTTCGGCTACACCACTATATTCTACCAAGCAATTGATCATGACTAGTGAACGATGTTTCTGTTGTTGTTGATGGTGGTGATAATGATGATGTTGATGAAGGCTTCACGTCTAATTGTTTCATGATTTCCCATTATTTTGACACAAACGAAAGCCTTTTGTGGGTTTTTATGGGTTCAATAATATCATAAAAACCAAACACGACTAAGTTCCGTGGTCAGTTGCTTATGCCGGAAAACAAACGCATACACGATCACATTCTATGTTTAAAATACATAATATAAGATTAAATATTTATAAATGGAACAGTACAGTATTCTCTCCTTCACAGAGGTTAACATGGCCAGAGAGCCATTTTCTCAGCCTGATACGAGAGGGCAGTTTGCGCATTACGCACCGTAATCTCTGCCACGACGCATATGCGCACAAGTCTATTTCAACAACAGACTGCTTTCATGATGGCGCATCGACGATACCCCATGAAGAAAAAAATATTTTATAATTCAGTTTGTAATGCATCTACAAACAGAATAGAACAACTACGGATCATTTGTGCTCCGAACAACATACTTAAGTCTATATTTCCGTGCGCAGTAATATCTGTGACAGGTGTATCTTTCCATCGAACGTTTTGATTTTTCAAATAAATCTTTGTCTTATCCAAGATGGCGGACGTTCCCAAGAGAAACCATGACAGACGATGTATCTGAAGAACTCTGGTCCCTTCAAGTTCGTTACAGCCATATTCTACTATGTTTATTGATTTGAAGTTGTCACCAGTCTTTTCCTTGGGTAGGAATAAAAAAGCGGCGAAATTGATAGATCAGGGCCCCTCTTCACAAAGCGATCTTATCGCTACGACAGTAAGTAAGTGTTTAAGTATGGGAGTTACGATCACCTTAGCGCTCCGATCGCTTTGCGGAACGGCCCCTGGTATAATCTTTCATTAAGCGGTCTACATGCAAGGTTGTTTTTAACGAACGTACACGTGACGTCCGACAGTGACATAATATAATGTGTCAAGGCAGGCGACGGCAGCACAGTGAGTGAGTGTTATTTGCTACCGCAAGAAGCACTATTCAAGACACAGACACCCGTGCATTATCCAGCCTGGACAGGCACACCTGCCGTTGATTGCATGGACGATCGGGGCGCGAAGACACGCAATCAGCCAGGTCCTAAATTCAAGCCGGATCCCATTTACAAGCAGTAGGTACTGTGAACCTAGTACGACGTGGAGCGGCAGGCAGATAGGTACTGTGAACCTAGTACGACGTGGAACATGGAGTGGCAGGCAGATAGGTACTGTGAACCTAGTACGACGTGGAACATGGAGTGGCAGGCAGATAGGTACTGTGAACCTAGTACGACGTGGAACATGGAGTGGCAGGCAGATAGGTGCTGTGAACCTAGTACGACGTGGAACATGGAGTGGCAGGCAGATGGGTACTGTGAACCTAGTACGACGTGGAACATGGAGCGGCAGGCAGATAGGTACTGTGAACCTAGTACGACGTGGAACATGGAGTGGCAGGCAGATAGGTACTGTGAACCTAGTACGACGTGGAACATGGAGTGGCAGGCGGATAGCTACTGTGAACCTATTACGACGTGGAACATGGAGCGGCAGGCAGATAGGTACTGTGAACCTAGTACGACGTGGAACATGGAGCGGCAGGCAGATGGGTACTGTGAACCTAGTACGACGTGGAGCTGCAGGCAGATAGGTACTGTGAACCTAGTACGACATGGAGCGGCAGGCAGATAGGTGCTGTGAACCTAGTACGACGTGGAACATGGAGCGGCAGGCAGATAGGTACTGTGAACCTAGTACGACGTGGAACATGGAGCGGCAGGCAGATAGGTACTGTGAACCTAGTACGACGTGGAACATGGAGTGGCAGGAAGATAGGTACTGTGAACCTAGTACGACGTGGAACATGGAGCGGCAGGCAGAAAGGTACTGTGAACCTAGTACGACGTGGAACATGGAGTGGCAGGCAGATAGCTACTGTGAACCTAGTACGACGTGGAACATGGAGTGGCAGGCAGATAGGTACTGTGAACCTAGTACGACGTGGAACATGGAGTGGCAGGCAGATAGGTACTGTGAACCTAGTACGACGTGGAACATGGAGTGGCAGGCAGATAGGTGCTGTGAACCTAGTACGACGTGGAGCATGGAGTGGCAGGAAGATAGTTACTGTGAACCTAGTACGACGTGGAACATGGAGTGGCAGGCAGATAGCTACTGTGAACCTAGTACGACGTGGAACATGGAGTGGCGGGCAGATAGGTACTGTGAACCTAGTACGACGTGGAACATGGAGTGGCAGGCAGATAGGTACTGTGAACCTAGTACGACGTGGAACATGGAGTGGCAGGAAGATAGGTACTGTGAACCTAGTACGACGTGGAACATGGAGTGGCAGGCAGATAGGTACTGTGAACCTAGTACGACATGGAACATGGAGTGGCAGGCAGATAGGTACTGTGAACCTAGTACGACGTGGAACATGGAGCGGCAGGCAGATAGGTACTGTGAACCTAGTACGACGTGGAACATGGAGCGGCAGGCGGATAGCTACTGTGAACCTAGTACGACGTGGAACATGGAGTGGCAGGCAGAAAGGTACTGTGAACCTAGTACGACGTGGAACATGGAGCGGCAGGCAGAAAGGTACTGTGAACCTAGTACGACGTGGAACATGGAGTGGCAGGCAGATAGGTACTGTGAACCTAGTACGACGTGGAACATGGAGTGGCAGGCAGATAGGTACTGTGAACCTAGTACGACGTGGAACATGGAGCGGCAGGCAGATAGGTACTGTGAACCTAGTACGTGGTAGAACATGGAGCGGCAGGCAGATGGGTACTGTGAACCTAGTACGACATGGAGCGGCAGGCAGATAGGTACTGTGAACCTAGTACGACGTGGAACATGGAGCGGCAGGCAGATAGGTACTGTGAACCTAGTACGATGTAGAACATGGAGCGGCAGGCAGATAGGCACTGTGAACCTAGTACGACGTGGAACATGGAGCGGCAGGCAGATAGGTACTGTGAACCTAGTACGACATGGAGCGGCAGGCAGATAGGTACTGTGAACCTAGTACGACGTGGAACATGGAGCGGCAGGCAGAAAGGTACTGTGAACCTAGTACGACGTGGAACATGGAGCGGCAGGCAGATAGGTACTGTGAACCTAGTACGACATGGAGCGGCAGGCAGATAGGTACTGTGAACCTAGTACGACGTGGAACATGGAGCGGCAGGCAGATAGGTACTGTGAACCTAGTACGACGTGGAACATGGAGTGGCAGGCAGATAGGTACTGTGAACCTAGTACGACGTGGAACATGGAGCGGCAGGCAGATAGGTGCTGTGAACCTAGTACGACGTGGAACATGGAGTGGCAGGCAGATGGGTACTGTGAACCTAGTACGACATGGAACATGGAGCGGCGGGCAGATAGGTGCTGTGAACCTAGTACGACGTGGAGCATGGAGTGGCAGGCAGATAGGTACTGTGAACCTAGTACGACGTGGAACATGGAGTGGCAGGCAGATAGGTACTGTGAACCTAGGACGACGTGGAACATGGAGCGGCAGGCAGATAGGTACTGTGAACCTAGTACGACGTGGAACATGAAGCGGCAGGCAGATGGGTACTGTGAACCTAGTACGACGTGGAACATGGAGCGGCAGGCAGAAAGGTACTGTGAACCTAGTACGACGTGGAACATGGAGCGGCAGGCAGAAGGTACTGTGAACCTAGTACGACGTGGAACATGGAGCGGCAGGCAGATAGGTACTGTGAACCTAGTACGACGTGGAACATGGAGCGGCAGGCAGATAGGTACTGTGAACCTAGTACGACATGGAGCGGCAGGCAGATAGGTATTACTAAAACAATTACACCATAAACCAAATCAAAGTCAAACTAATACATTCCAGCGTGTCAAACTGCCTATACATGAACCAAATCATACTGTATTCAACCCTGGCTTGAACTCTCGTGTTACCTGCTGTTGGTTGCACTGGAAACTATAGGTGTTGGCAATTAGGCGATAGCACGGCAATAACCATACTTGGCACCATCACAAAGACAAATGGTACTAAAGGCTGCGTGGTGCTGAACATATATCCTCTCGAATGTTCACGATGGTATCTCCCTAATCCAGTGTAACGAGGTGCATGTTTGTGTGTTGAGAGCAGCACAGATGGAGCGACAAAGGGGCTTCATCCTGAGGGCATCAAGCACATATGTACAGGCGAAGTACTTCCATATGAATTAACATTAGAAAGACCTGTCAACATGCAGCTAAAAGACGGGCGGAAACACGTCCAAAACATGACAGACTGTCCAAAATTCTCATAACGATAACACAACAGGCAGACCAAATGTTCGATCTTTCGGAACCAAACCCAACGATTCGGTTGAAGAAGTGAGCGGAGAAATTGAGGATAATTCACATTTCGAGTGAAATATCATGTTTCTCTCATCGAGGGAGGTGGGGGTGGGGGTGGGGGTGGGGGTGTGGGTGGGGGTGGGGGGAAGGAGATATTTTCACTTGTGAAATACATTTTGTGTAGTTGTCTACGGGGAAATTAAAATATTTTATTACAAATGTAAAACCTTGAAACGTAAATTCTCCCTACCTAACACACAGGAACGGTTCACCAGATCTGAAAAAAGTATAAAAAAATATTTAGAGTCACGAAAATTCTTTATCATACATTTCTATATGATTATTTACAATATCAACTTTAACAGAACGTATCATAGAATTCTAAAATAACTAGGTGACAGCTGTTGGATGTACACTGCAATGAAAATATTACTTTTCTCAACTTGAGAAAACTCGCTATATTTTGGAGTCGTGTGATGGGCAGAGACCTGATTCCAAGCTTTACACTCAGGTACACTGTGTGCCATGCATGCCATGCGTATCCTTGTGAAACAATGTGTAACCATGCAGTTGTGTACCATGTCTGTCAAACGTATCCTTTGGCACCACGTGTAACTCGGGTATATATGTGTACCTCTGTGTATCAGGTATATATGTGTACCTCTGTGTATCAGGTATTTCTGCGACCTCTGTGTACCTCTGTGTATCTGGTATTTCTGTGTACCTCTGTGTATCAGGTATATCTGTGTACCTCTGTGTACCTCTGAGTATCAGGTATATCTGTGTACCAGGTATATATGTGTACCTCTGTGTATCAGGTATATATGTGTACCTCTGTGTATCAGTTATATATGTGTACCTCTGTGTACCAGGTATACCTGCGACCTCTGTGTACCTCTGTGTATCAGGTATTTCTGTGTACCTCTGTGTATCAGGTATATCTGTGTACCTCTGTGTACCTCTGTGTATCAGGTATTTCTGTGTACCTCTGTGTATCAGGTATATCTGTGTACCTCTGTGTACCTCTGTGTATCAGGTATATCTGTGTACCAGGTATATATGTGTACCTCTGTGTATCAGGTATATATGTGTACCTCTGTGTATCAGTTATATATGTGTACCTCTGTGTACCAGGTATACCTGCGACCTCTGTGTACCGCTGTGTATCAGGTTTTTCTGTGTACCTCTGTGTATCAGGTATTTCTGTGTACCTCTGTGTATCAGGTATTTCTGTGTACCTCTGTGTACCTCTGTGTATCAGGTATAATTTTGTACCTCTGTATATCAGGTATATCTGTTGACATCTGTGTACCTCTGTGTATCAGGTATTTCTGTGTACCTCTGTCTACCTCTGTGTATAAGGTATATCTGCGACCTCTGTGTACCTCTGTGTATCAGGTATTTCTGTGTCCCTCTGTGTATCAGGTATACCTGTGTACCTCTGTGTATCAGGTATTTCTGTGTACCTCTGTGTACCTCTGTGTATCAGGTATTTCTGTGTACCTCTGTGTATCAGGTATTTCTGTGTACCCCTGTGTACCTCTGTGTATCAGGTAAATTTGTGTACCTCTGTGTACCTCTGTGTATCAGGTATATCTGTGTACCTCTGTGTATCAGGTATATCTGTGTACCTCTGTATATCAGGTGTATCTGTTGACATCTGTGTACCTCTGTGTATCAGGTATTTCTGTGTTCCTCTGTGTACCTCTGTGTATCAGGTATATCAGCGACCTCTGTGTACCTCTGTGTATCAGGTATTTCTGTGTACCTCTGTGTATCAGGTATATCTGTGTACCTCTGTGTATCAGGTATATCTGTGTACCTCTGTGTACCAGGTATATCTGCGACCTCTGTGTACCTCTGTGTATCAGGTATTTCCGTGTACCTCTGTGTACCTCTTTATATCAGATATATCTTTGTACCTCTGTATATCAGGTATTTCTGTGTACCTCTGTGTATCAGGTATATCTGTGTACATCTGTGTACCTCTGTGTATCAGGTATATCTGTGTCCCTCTGTGTATCAGGTATTTCTGTGTACCTCTGTGTACCTCTGTGCATCTCTGTGTATCAGGTATAATTTTGTACCTCTGTATATCAGGTGTATCTGTTGACATATGTGTACCTCTGTGTATCAGGTATTTCTGTGTACCTCTGTATACCTCTGTGTATCAGGTATATATGTGTACCTCTGTGTATCAGGTATATCTGTGTACCTCTGTGTATCAGGTATTTCTGTGTACCTCTGTATACCTCTGTGTATCAAGTATATTCCGCTGTGCCGTATGTACCTCTGTGTTCTACTGTATGTCGCGTTGTACTCCAGTGGCACATTGGATTCGCGTCAGAAGTAGTATTTCAGTAGTAGGTTTCATTTATCCCCCATCAAACATGTCTGTATACTTTCTTCTGCCCGTCAGTTTATAAAACTTTTCGCATTAGGTGTTATAAGGTACCCACAGTACAACTGATGTATGAAGGGGGAATATGCATGCGGCACACACTCTGTTATACTTCCGCGCGTAGGAATATATCCTTGCTGGTATAATGTCATGTACAGCATATCAGAGACCAAAAACTTCTGGTTCCGTTAAATACCGCACGTGAGATTCGAGTGTCTCTTATGGCGAACACGCGGTGTATTAGGTGTCGTGCCAACTGTTTACTGGTGTCGTATGACGTTGTAATTATAATCTGAGCTTTACTACCTGTGCGGGAATTTCGTTCTCATATACATGAAAGTTCCCCTCTTGGGTCTCCACCAAGTCTAGTGTCTCTTTACGGTCTAAGTCTAGACGTCGTAATCAGTACTCTGTGTGAAACTGAGATGTCTCTTGTTTTGTGTGTTTGTTGTTCAACTGACCACACGATCCCGTTAGTCACCTCTTACGACAGGCATGGGTTGTCCAAGAACAATTAATTCTCACCCGGATTGTCACGGCGTGCGTGTGTACGTGCGTACGTGGGTACGTGCGTGTGCGTGTTTATCAGGAAGACAGCGTGGGTTGCGGCATGTCACGACTGCCATCTGCTGCTAGTGTAGTGTTTCTAGAAACAATTATGATGTCTGAAGACCCCCTCCTAATCACAACAGACAATTATTCTTTTGAAAAATATAATGCATATATTTTTGATCTTATGAAAAGAAATTTGAAAAAACTCTTTTTTTTATTATTGATGCATTAAAGTAATAAAACTCTGTTGGCTCTTATTCTGATGAATAAAACAACACAAATGAGTCTTGTGACATTCAAGTCGTCATCATCGGTAATAGTTTACAGTATTTAACAAATGCTGGTAGTGATCAGAATACCGAATTAAAAGAGACTTTTGTTGACTTTGATCGCGTTAAAAAAACCATTATACTAAATCATTGAACAAATTTGTTAACTCATGAAAAGTGTATAACATTTTCTGTTATGTCAAGTGCCATTAGTTTTGCTTGACGGTTCTGTTGTGTTATAGTGCATGTTTTCACATGTGTTTAAACGACACATCGCACATCTTGAGTATTAAGTACCTCCCCTGTAGCTTTTGCATGAAGCACTATCACCTCAATTGTCTTGATACTGATTAAGTAGATCCTGATGGACTGAACCAACTTGTGATTATAAGCGTAGACGTTGCTGCACGTACCAAGGACTCACAAATGTGTAAACTTCGAAAGTAAGATTTGATTCTTTACTAACAGGGTATGTTGATCTTTTAATTTACCAAAACAAAACGTTCAATTCTAATTTCATAATTATTTTTGCATATATTGAGTACAAGAGTCCCACGGGTAGGCGATCTGGCGATAAGGCGGTCTGTCTACTGTCTACAATCTACTGACTTGTGTTGATTATGACCTATCACAGAGGTAACAGGAATAGCTTTTATCAAAGTTGACATACAAAGGCGTTTCGATATAAACTTTGCTGTGCAAAAGAAAACACACACTTAAAAATTGCTTTTGACAAAAAGAAATTACAAACGTTATTAGGCTGGCCACAGTCGCCGAAACACTTCAAACCTACGACCCAGAATCATACACATCACCATCGAATAACCGTTCGTTGTTTTTTTCATTTTTAGCCACCAACAAACGCGGGTGTGTACTTTCTTTGCCTGGCAGTTTAGTTGTGGACTATCCCTAGGCCATGTTAGATTTGGGACTTCCCCAAAACAAACAGACTAAAATGGTAACTTTCGATGCCTTTGTTATATTTCAGACACCCAGACACTCTCGAGTTATCGACGAATATATACACTTGCTCTGTCCTTGTCCCGACACAATGCCGAACACAGACACAGGACATTTGTACTTTGGCCAAATGGGCTTAAAACGACGTACATTGTCCATTACGACAAAACCTCGCTTGTGAGGAATGAATGCTGGAAGTGTTTGTCCGGGTCAAGGGATTAAGTTGTCAAGGATATAGGTTATTCTGACATTGCCTTGGCACTACTGCCCTACTTTCTGTGATCTAGTGTCACCTCTTCACGCGTAGTAACACACAGCAGCGTAGGAATCTATTTGGAAACAATACTGCGTACACACAAAGTCATATACGCCTGGAAAAAACTAAGCATCAATATTTTGATGTATTTTCATATATCATGTACTTCCATGTAACATTTGGAAACATTTACATAAACTGCCGAAAGAAGAAAGGATACACTTGAAAATTGAATTTGACTAAAACCAGTCGTCGAAACACTGCAAACTTAAGTATAAAATGCATCACCAGCGAATGATCATTTCCTGTTTGTTTAAATTTTAGCCACCATCAAACGCGGGTGTGTACTTTCTTTTCCCCGACAGTTTCTTTACCAAGGATCCACTGTAGATCAACTGTAGAAACTAAACAACAACAACAACAACAACAACAACAACATAAAGCTGCGGGTACTATAGCGTGGGGCGGGGTCGGGGTCGGGGACGGTGGGGTTTAGCCTGCAACAAGCTAGGTTGAGGGTCAGTAATGGTAAGGAGGCACATTCCAAGTTACCTATAAGGAAACCCCAGGATACACAGGTGGGGTTGGTAGAAGAAAAACAACACCAAGCAAGCAACCGAAGATAATAAAAAATGAAATAAAGCGACAGGATAAGGGAAACAACAAAATCATTTTATAACCGCTGCCCCCATTGTATATTAAATAAACAAACAACCACAACCAAAACACCAGCACTAGCACCACCCAAACATCACCAATATACCCCAACAAACGACTAAAATACAACACACACACACACACACACACACACACACACACACACACACACACACACACACACAACCCCCCCCAAAAAAACAACAACAACAAAACAACAACAACAAGAAATGGAAACTAACAAAACAATAGCAAAAAAGTTAAGAAATTACGTTTTTTCGTTTAAAAGACTTTTGTAAAAAACAACATCCGTGATGTGACAAGTGTGTGGTCTCAGCCCTTCGTGTAAACTGAAATCCTTTAGTCCTGGAAGCCATGACTATTGACATATCAGGGACGAAACCACTATCTTCTTCACCACTCGTGATTATTGTGTCACTTTATTTCGATAGCAGATACTCTCTTGCTAAAACTACGATTCTATACTCAAAATAGACGTTGACGTTTTTGAGACAGTCCTTGAACGATGAGTAAAACACGCCACAACATAAACATGCGTGCACATCTCGCAACATGCATCTGGAGTACGGTGGCATAGCTGGAAATATATAAGAGCATGATACAACACGTTACTCGTGCACTCTGTTAGGTCGCAGAGGTCAAATGCTGCACGCGGAAAACGTGAACCTCGTCAATGACGTCATAGCAAAGACGTGATCCCGTGAGAAAGCAGCTGGTGGACCGCTAAAAAGAATACCGTGGGAACGTATGTTATACTCTTAGTTGAACGTAAGAATGAGTGAATCACGTAACGTCTTAACCACGGCACTTGGTGTGCTGCTATTTCTTGGCAATCACGCCATACCTCATGACTGAAGGAATAGGTTAGCCGTGTGTTCATAAAGCGATAATTTTAACCTTAAAAATTGGTAATGCGCTAGAAAGTAGCTTCGCTGTAATCACAGCAATTGAAGGAATGGGTTGAGCGTACACACACAAAATATTCGTTCTTGTCTATTACGTTTTGTTGTTATTGTTATTGATGTTGCCTATATTTACACAGCATACAAATACAATCAGAGCATATTCCATTAACACTCCTTGTCATATTGTCTAAGCTTAGTGGGTGAAGCGTTCACTCGTCATGCCGAAGGCCCGGGTCGATTCCTCAGACGGGTACGAGGTGTGAAGCCCATTACTGGTGTCCCCCGCCGTGATACTTTATGACCATTGCTAGACTAACGTATAGTCTCTGAAATGAACTATTTTACAGAAAAAAACAGTTGTTAAATTATAGTTATAAAATATAATGGAAAGGAGCCAGAGACCTTCATTTTCAGATCTGATACTGCAGTAATGTAAACTTGCCAAATACTATAGACTTGCGTGAATTGTATTGGATATGTTTGTTTCAGGGTCTGTATGACAGACTAGAATATTGCTAAAAGCGGCTGAAAACTAAACTCACTCATATTTTCTTGAACGATAATTATAGATCAACCATTGTGCTCAGTTAGTTGTTGAACCCCGCTCTGAACAATATTTCAGCTATATGACGGTAGTCTGTTAATAGTCGAGGTTAGACTGTTCAGTTCTTGACATTTGGTGTAAAATGCAAAATAGTGGTTATTATTATATGAAAATCAGTGATGACACTAG